CTACACCGACGACTGCACCTGACTTAACTATGGAGGGTGAGGCATTGACACAAGCCCTGAAACATTTGATTTCGAATTCTTCATCTCATCAGCCTCAACCATCCAGCGAATGTATGGCAAAGTCTATTTTATTTACTTCCATTGCTACGAATTGGACAATTTACGGCTGTTACTTCTTTTGTCTAGCTAAACTGACACCAAGTGACTTGAGGGAGATAGTGGATGCTGCACTAAAGGATCACTTGACGCACCAATTGCCACCGACTGAATCCGTTCTGGTTCAGTCACAACTTCGAGATGTTAATGTTGGAATATCGAGCCAAGAATTTATGAAGGAGGAGGCGTTGAGTCCGATTCATTCAGCGGAAAAAATTTTCCTAATCGACAGGGCTTCCAGTCCCAAAGTGCGTGTTTTGCAATTTGATAATCACCCAGTTCCTTGAGTGATTAACCATTAACAGCTTACACAAGTATTCTGTGTGAGTGGTTAATGGATTTCTAAGTTAATTTGTCTCTGGAGTTGAAAGAGATGAACCGCTCTTTCCTTTTAGCCAACCACAGCGCCACCAGAAATAGTTTCACGCGGAAACTCAGTACAATCCATTGAGAAACCGCGAACTTCGTGCTCACCTTCGATAACATCAGAAGTCATTGGTGTGTCGCAGAAATTGGGGTCAGGGTAAGTTATCAATTTGTTGCTTTGCATCAGATAAGCCTTATTAAACAATGTTAAATACAACCTTTACTTACTATTTTATCAGTAGTTACAATTATGCAACGTACATTTCACGTCTATTAAAAACAATCTTTTCAAACTCCTTTTAAAATTTCCATTGGTAATGGTAGACTTTTAAATGACTTTTAATGCGAATTACATACACTTTGCTTTCAACTGCAGGTCAGCCACTGATACTGAAACTAATACTGAATTCGCAGGTAGCAATCAAATTGCTACTGCGGTATCTACAGAAAGATCCAATTTTCCTAATGAATGGTGTGTTCACTTCCTTCTCGGTATAACCCATCGAATTGTTTTCCTGATTTCTAATGAGTTCCTTCCCATCAGTATATACGAAGCTTTGGAAGATCGCCACACAAATAGATCAGAAGTTTGCTCCGACACATGGTGTGGTTTTTCACTATGTTTATTGGTTACAAGTTCGTGTAAATGTTTCCAAGTCGTTAGATATTCTCACACGAGAATTGTGCTGTTTTAGGGATCTTTCAACAATCCAAACGGAGGTTAAAGTCACACAGCCATTAATGACGTCAAATAATCGGTCAGTTAAGGCATACTCACTTCCTTTGTCAAGGTTTTATCGAAGCGCTTTAAAGGCTTCAAAGGTCACTTTAATTCCTTAAAAGTTGGATAGCTTAAGAATTAATTTTCATTCTTAAGTAATACAGCCTTGAGTTAATATAGCGTTTTGTTTTCAGAAGTTATTGCTATGAAATATTTCGACTTCGTGGATGCTCCTGCTAAAATTTTTATGCTGTATAGATGTACTTCTTCACTCCGACAATCCATCAATACCCCGGCGCCAATTCTGTCCGTGTTTTGCTATAACAGTTACTATTGTTGCGCTTTTACGTTACAGCTTGAAGTTATTGTTTTGTCTATGTTTACAGAATGCGTGTTTATCGCGTAATGTTTGTCGCCTAGGACACAATCGCCAATCTTAGCTGATGCTGAAGTAGTTTCGACGTCAGTGACATTGCCAAAGGTTGAGAAGAGTGCGGAAAGTGAGGAGGGAGAGAGTTTAAGCTTGACAGAACCGCACACCTTTAGTGATGGTGTTTGGTTGGACGCGGATCGATCTGAGGGTGAAGCAGGAGGCGTCACCGTACTTGGGGCTGAAGAAGTTGCCGATTTGGCAAGAGAATTGGGTCCTTTACCTTCCTCAAGTGAAACAGTGAGTAGTTACTTGGGTGACAAGTTAGACCGCACCTTCTCAATTTCTCAACACAATTACTAATTGTTGACTTGGTTATTTTGCAGTCTGGGCTGACAAATTCAGGATCAGAGGCTTCAAGAGGTCAAAGTGAAGGTGAACTTACTCTTGATCAAATTAACCGCCATCTGGGTGCTTGGGTAGCTCCCTGGCGAGATCCTCTCCTCCACCTTATTGCGCTCAATGCAGCTGGGAGAAATTCACGATTGCCCTGGAATCAGCAGCATAAGGTACTGGAAGATTTTGAGAAAAAGAGTTCTCCTTCACTGACAAACACTTTATTACCTGTTCACTCCTCAATCGCATCACAAAACGAAAGCGAACGAAACTCTCGCATTGATGAGAGGTTGGGTTGTTTTTGCTACCGCAATTATTTTTAATGACGTATGTGCTTTGTTTAATCTCCTCCTCCCATTTTGCATATTTAAGGATGGCAATTTATTACATTTTGTCGCATGAATTTATGCTGCTAGTAGAGATGGTTTTAGATTCAAAAAGTGGCACAAGCACTAGAACGTCGTGGAGCCAACCAGGCGCCAGCTCATGCTGAAGTCTGTTGCAGCTCCACCGAAGATCTCACCTGGGTAGAGGGCATGGCGACAAAAGTGGTTGTTACTTCACCTCCCTCCACTCCAACGAATGGTGAAAAGTCTGTCGGTGAGGTCATTCTACCCACCGCGGTAAGGCAGCAGTTGCGGCGAGCCATTCTTGCCAAGTCCTCACAGAGGATGCGTCAACGCTCTGCCAGTCTCTTTGACGGTAGGATGATGACAAAACCTGTAAAAACCTTTTTGAGCATCTTATTTTAGCCTGGTTACTGTACGTTACCTTTACGGATGTGATTTTAGATATTTACGGACATTAATATGGGGCATGTAAGCTTTCATTAATTTGACTACCCGTATGATTGGTGGTCACCTTGGTGTTCACTATGTCCTTAGGTGGGTGAGG